AAATTCCACTCTTTGGTATATATCCAAGAGAAATGAAAATAACAGTCTACACAAAAACTTGTATATGAATGTTTATAGCAGTGTTATTCATAATTGTAAAAGAGCAGAGGAAAAACACAAATGTCTATCATTTAATAAACAAATAAATGAAAGTGGTATATCCATACAACAGAATATTATTCAACCATCAAAAGGAGCAAAGTGCTGATGCATGCTCCAACACGGATCAACCTTAAAAACATTATGTTAAGTGAAAAAGCCAGTCACCAAAGATACTATAGCTGGCCCTCTGTAACTGGGGGTTTCACATTTGTGGATTCAATCATCCATGGATCAAAAATATATTTTTAAAATATAAATATTAAAACAATTATTAAAAATAATGCTACTAAAATACAGTATAAAAACTATTTACATAGCATTTACATTGTATTAAGTATTATTAGTAATCTGAGCATGATTTAAAGTATGCATGAGGATGTGTGCAGGTTATATACACATACTGCATCATATTACATAAGGAATTTGAGTATCTGTGAATATTGGTATTCATGGGGGTCATGAAACAATCCCCCTGCAGATACCAAGGAACAACTCTATATTATTTTTCTTAAAAGAAATGTCTAGAATAGGTAAGTATATAGACAGCAAGTAGATTGTTAGCTACCTAGGGCTGGGGATTTTGGAAGGAAGAGGGCAAAAATTACAGGGTTTCCTCGTGAGGTGATGAAAAAGCTCTAAAAATGACTGTGGTGATGGTTGCACATATACTAAAAGACATGAATTATGTACTTGAATTAAATGGGTGGATATAGTGGTATGTGAATTATATCACCAATTTTTAAAAAGTGATGAGTCAAACATAACTCCAAGGATTTTGACCTGGGCAATTTAAAGAATGGTGTTAAACTTACTGAGATGAGAAGAAATGTGGAAGCACAAGATGGAACAGTTCAGAAATTAGCATCTAGTTTTGTACATATTAAGTCTGAGCCATTTATTAGACATCTAAGTAGAGATTTGAAAACAGGAAGTTGAATATACAAACTGCAGATTAGGGCAGTGGTGCAAGCTAGCAATATGTATTTGGCAGTAATCAGCAAAAGGTATATAAAAGCCATTATCTGAATGACATCAACGAAACAGTTAACACAGACAAATATTGGAAAAAATCCAAAGATTGAGCTTTGGCGTTTTCAAATTTAGGGATTGAGGAAATGAGAAAAAATTGGAATTGGACAATGTAGTAGTAGAGTGAAATGAAGAGAAAATTATATCTATAAATCAATTTTTGTGCAAGATAAAACTTTTCAATGAGTAGAAAATAATCATCTGTTTTGAATACCATTGACAAAAAGAAAACTAAGAATTCAATATTGTAATTTAGAGGTAACTAATAAAAGCAGCTTTAAGAGCATGATGAAAAGTGAAAGCCTAGGTGGATTGTGTCCAAGTGAAAATGAAACAATTAAATCATAATTCATAATTTTAGTACAATCCCTGAAAACTTAAAGCAAATGAAACATGCATGCCTGTTTATAGAGTGGATGACTTAAGCAAACATGGAACAATTATTACTAATAAATTTAACTGAACATACCTATCAGGATGTGCATTATTATAAACTAATGTGGCCAACTCTCCCAGTCTTCCTAGGATTCATGAAGTTCCAGGAAAAATAGAATTTTGGTCTTAAAACCGGGATTTAGGACTTTCTGTGCTAAAAGTGTGAAAGTCTCATAAGAACTTAAAAAATAAAAAGAAGCTTAATTGGTGTTCCTTCATAACTGTGTACCTGTAAAGATAATGAGTATCCTGAATCTATTGTATTTATACTCACATACAGCAAAAAATTAATATGCTAATATCATCAGAGATCAAAATTTTGAAAAGAAAATAACACTTGTATATGTATATAAAAACAAATATATATGTTTTTATTCACCAAATTGAACTCAAAAAAATATATATATAACTTTTTTTTAATATAGCTTTTTAAAAAGATCTTTGTTCAATAAGAAGAATCAATCATCAACTCAATAACAGTGAGTGCTCCTAGTTCTCAGATAATGGAATCTAAACCATAATTTTCACTAAAAAAAAAAAAAAAAGCAAGAGCTCCCTAAAAAAATAGCTAACCCTAAATCTGTCATACCAAAATGTGAGGCCTAGAGCATATTTTCATATGAGGAAGCAAGAACACTATCAGTGTCATTTCATAAGGACATCGAAATCAATACTAAGAGGCTCCACTGGCTAAAATCAGGAGGATTAGTGAATCAGTGGAAACAATAAATGCAGTGACTTGAATGAAACCACCAAATCTTTTCAAATGTATCAGTTTATAATTACAGTAATATTAAAAGAAATCAGTGACCTTCTAATGCTGCTAAAGAAACAATTCAATACTGTTAAAATGATAAAGGAAAAGACGCAACATTTGACTTGATTTCCTATGTGAACCTTATACTTCATTTAGAGTAATTTTACAGTCGATGGGGTAATATTTCTCTTTATAGAAATATTTCAGTACATAAATATTAATAGAACTATAAAATCAACATTTATTTTCAAACCCTTGGAAAGAAAACATGAATCTAGGTAATTTGCCAACATAGCAGCAAGACTTTAGATCTAGCTGTTACTTTGCAGGAAATGTAAGTCAGAGGGAAACCTGTTAGCATAATGGAGGTAGACAGCTAAATGCAGAACGATTATCCTAACTATTTTTTAATGAAGGAGCAAGGGAGAGAAAGACTATAGATTAGAAGACTTAAAATTCATTTAAATGTGTAGAGCATCATTAGATTCTTATTCAAACAAACTAAAAAATTTGAAAATTGGACATATTTGATATAAATGAATGATATTATTGAACAATTACTCCTTTTTGAGGTATAGGGATATTTTTGAGGTTATATTTTTGGATAGTTGCTCCCTTTAAAAGATATAGTTCTACATATTTACAGATAACATTATAACCCTGCCAAGGTGTTAAAGAGATGAGAATTACAAAGAAACAAACTTGGACATAAGTTGATAGTCGCAGAAATAATTAAGATGATTTCTACATCCTCAGTCTTTGTCTGAGTTGATTTTGCTGTGATCAACAGTTTCCTGCGTATTTACAGCTTTGCATGTCCTTCTACTTCTTGGCCTAAGGAATTTTTCCCCTACGGTAGGGTCTTCCTTGGTCCTTTTGTCGATAACCCAGAATTGTGTGGAGCTAATGCTTTCAAGAACAACCCTCAGACAAACAACCCTCAGAGATGGCAGTAGATGAATAAATGCCACAAGCTCCCAAAACACATTGCTTAGAAGGTCCCAGTTGGGTAGCCAGGATCCCAGAACAGTAATTCATTCTTCTGTAATACTTAATTAGTGTTACCCACTCCTTGATATTTCCAAGATCCCTCATTTGTGCTTCTTGGCATCATTTTTCGAATGAACCACCTGTGCTTAAGGCCTTTTTAGAGGGTCTGCTTTGTATGAACCCAATTTAATATAATTCAAAAGGAATCCTTGAAAGCAGACACTCCAGATGGGATTCTGAAATTAGATTAGTCACTAGTCAGATGGCAACAAGCACCCCATTGCTGATGATAAGTGGGATGGTGATAGCCTATATCATGATATAGCATCATAATTACCAAAACACTCAGCCTTAGCAAATGAGGTGAGATGCAGGTGAAATGGGGAGCACTGGCTTGTGAAGTACCTCTAGCACTAGAAAGATATAAGGGCAAAAAGTAATTAGAAAGATTGTGGAGATGCTTAGCGGTTTTGAAGGAAAATGAAAGGCTCAGATCACAATTATCAACTCAGGGAATGTTGTGAAAGCCAGGTGTCCTACAAAGCTGCATTTAAATACATCATCTGCTGTGAAGAAATTGAGGCCCAGCATTTTAACGTTAAGTATAACCAAGTTACAAGAGAGTGAATGCAAATGATAGCAGGTCTTCCATGCTTGCATTAAGGCCTCAGATAGGGAAGAAACAGAAAAATGAGACTCGAAGATGGGAGCATGTGGGCTAATGATCTTGAGAACCTTGAAAAAACAGCTGGAAGAAAACTCCCTTTAGCTGGACAATATGAAGAGGCCTCACCTGAGTCGGATGCCTCATATGATGATGCTTACCCTCCTCACAATCTGTCTTTGCTTACCGCAATTTTCTCTTTACCAGTAACTAGGGCCAGGAATCAGCATGGATCATGCAGGGAAATATTGTTCTTGTTGTAGAAGACACGGGTTTATTTACCAAAAATAACTGCAGGTTCTGGACAATAGAAACAAGCTAAAATTTGAAGAACATGTTTGGGAGTAGATGAGGGTAGTCAGACTCCAGTATTGAGATGTAAAATTAAATGACTGGATAGGGGAGAGTTTATTGGTATTGTGACACTCTCCTAGGGTTCATAATACAATGTTCTGACAAAGATAAATGGGGCTTACTCTGACCTCTTCCTGAGATGGCTTCTTGAAACCTCATAATGACAATAGCTGTAGAAATGCCAAAATTGCCTTCAGTTAATAATGACAATAGCTTATACTGAATGCTGTAGAAATGCCAAAATTGCCTTCAAAATTGTGGAAGGGATTGTTAGGCTTATCGGTTTGGGCATTTCATAAAGGATTTATTGGAGAAAACCAAAGTCCATTAGTTCACTATGTTCCTCAAGAGGGCCGAGAAAAAAAAAAATCCTTTTGCTAAAACTATAAGAAAATCACTAGTAAGAGATCCTATGATAAGAAGCTTCCTGGTGGTCTTTCTCTGAAATTCAGGATTGATGATAAGAGATCTTGCCCTGAAACTAGGCTCCCTACTACCAATGGGATGAAAGGGCTACACAATATCAGAAGCCAGATGGTGGTAATTAACCCACATAACTAGTATATATACACTATATATATATGTGTCAGTTCACTGTCATCCTTGTTGGATGCAGTTTTTGTTTGTTTGTTTGTTTGTTTTTGTTTTGTTTTGTTTTGTTTTGTTTTGTTTTGGCAGGCCAAAACCGTAGTTTATTTCAGCATCAGCAGTATCTTAGCCATCAAAAAAATAAACACTACCGAGGGTGATGAAGTCTCTACAGCAAGGCTAAGGGCTCACCAGGCGGCGAACATCAGGGGTGCATGGTGGGCACTGCCCAGGCAAAAAGTTAGGAAGCAGCAGGGCTGGTGTCGGGTGTGCACCAGGCTTCACTTCTGGGCAGGCATGAGGTCATCGATGGCCTGGCCCTGTTCCAGCCGCTGCTCCATCTCGATGAGCAGCTTCACTCCATCCACCACCATCTGCACCAGCTCCACCTCTGAGAAGCCCAGGCGGTCAGCGTTGGAGACGTCGAAGACCCTGCCTACTGCAGCTGTGTCCACACCGTCTGTGCCTCGCTTCTGAGGTCGCAGCCGCTTAAGCACCTCGGAGAATTTCTCATGCTTGCCCAGGTGGGGCAGCTTAATATGCACACCTGCCCGCAGCCCCATGCCCAAGTTGGATGGGCAGGTGAGGATGTATATATATATATATGTGTGTGTGTATATATATACATATATATATAGTGTATATATACTAGTTATGTGGGTTGATTATATGTATATATTATATAATTAACTATATATATAATTATATATACATACACTATATATATACTAGTTATGTGGGTTAATTACATATATATGTAATTATTTAAATGAGAAGAAAGATTGAGGGACTACAAAGCATCTTGACCCATAGGTACCTGTGACTGTGGTAAATAGACGACAATTCCTAAGGATAAAACAAAGAATAGGCAGAAATCAGTACTTGATTTATACAATCCAAGAGGATTAACATTATACAACCAACAAGGATGGCAGTGAACTAACATTCAGCTGATGTCAGTCACTGCAATGGAAAACTTTATCCCTTGCCCAATTTCTAGAACTGAGGCAGTTCTCTGTCACAAAACTCATCAAGACCCCTGCAAAGGTCCCTGTGGCAAACAAGTGTATCAGTTCACCGAATTCTTCTCAAAATGGAAACTTTGATCATTTTCTCCAGATTGTGGCTTAGATTTTCAGTCTTTTGGGGTTTTTAAAATCATACACTTAGAAACAAAATAAAAACATGGGATATGGTTTAATTAAAAATAAAAATACACCTTTCATACATAAACCAAGTTCTGTAAGACAATTTTTGAAAGCAGGAATATTTGTGGATCTAAATGGTTATATAACTTGATTTTTCTTCTATTCATAATCTTATTTTAATTTTAGCAACTTTTTAAAAAACAATGTGTATTATCTTTTTATATTATAATTGGCAAATGTTAAAATAAAAATCTACACCTGTTACATCGCTATGTGGCAAACAGAGTCTCAGGTGATTCGGAAGTGACTACCAGATTTGAAAATGAATGCTGAAAATATATCCAGTGAAGAGTAATGAACGGTAAGTAACAAAAGAGCCTAACTATGAAGAGGATAATAGAAGAATTTCCCTAGCCATTTTAGATTGTTTATGCTAAATGCAAACACAACGAAGATGTCCTTTGAGAGATCTTAGCCTCAGAAATGTACATAATTCTGATCATAGTCTTGGGGGATAAAATTTGGTGGGTTTGTGTGTGTTTGTGTATAAGTGTGGTGTGTTTTGGGGGAGAATATGTAATTATGCACACAGACACATCAAGGATCACATGGAGATCTGTTATCCCACTGAATCCCATAACACCCTTCTCTTCTCAGTCCAACTTTATGAAATTTGATATTTCCCTGATCTGAATGGGCCCGTTTATTACTAAGCCCACTTTTCTCTTCTGTGACCTTCCCAGGATATAAGATGCAGAAATGGGCCTTGTGGTCAATGGAAATCCCCTGTCATGCACAGAATATTCTGAAAAGCCACTTGGATAGCCACAGATCCTTAAAGTTTATCTGGCTGCTGATATAACAGTAAATATTGAAAGAAAAAAAAACAGGTGGGATCTATAATTTTAGTATGAGCTTTGATAAATACTTTCAGATCTTGATTAATATATTAAAATATATGATCATAATTAGAGATTGCTATGCGGCAGCAATGGAGAAAATAAAAGCTGTAATTTTCGAGCAAACATCTATTATCACCTAGATTGTGCTAGAACATAGACCCCACCGTAACTTAGTGTCTATTTATGTTCAAAGAATCGCGTTTATAGGCTGGAAGAACAGGAAATCCTGGTCATCATATCTACCGGGCAGACAGGAATAACCTAGTGCTAGACCCTCTGACTTTGGGTCTAAAGAAATTTTCTACTATTAATTAAATCAGATGCTTAAACTACTTGATGTAAGCAGCTTCAAAAATTCCTGACACATAATAAATGTTGCATAAGCATTTGTTCTTCTTACAACTAATTGGAGATTCTAGCAAAGAAAGAGGTGTCCTGAGACAACATTTGTAGGAAATCCGGACTGTTAAAGTGAGGTATGAATCATTCAGAGATAAACGAATCTCCAGAACAGAGCCACAGGCAGCAGACTGCAACAACTTCTTGGTACAATCCTCTATGCCTACTCAGTGAAGCAGTGTTACAGGTGTGAGGTTCCTTGCTTGTGTTGGATCACATGTGAGTAGCCTTTGGTTGTGTGGTCAGCTGTTTGAGAAAACCAACCAGTGTATTCAAACCTATTCTGGTCTGTGCATAGAAGAACTTGAGGAAAAAAAAAAAAAAAAAAAAAAACAGACAAAAACCAAGACAGACGCTAACGTAAAGAAGCCATAGAAGAGGCCGAGCACGGTGGCTCATGCCAATAATCCCAACACTTTGGGAGGTGGAGGTGGGTGAACCACGAGGTCAGGAGTTCGAGATCAGCCTGGCCAATATGGTCAAACCCTGTCTCTACTAAAACGTAATATTAGCTGGGTGTGGTTATGTGCACCTGCAGTCCCAGCCACCACTTGGGAGGCTGAGGCAGGAGAATCGCTTGAACCGGGAGGCAGAGGTTGCAGTGAGCACTCCAGCATGGTGTCAGAGTGAGACTCTATCAGAAAAAAAAAAGAAAAAAAAAAGCCATAAAAGAGTGTCCAAACATGCAGAGCTTGAAAAATATAACAGACTAGAAAACCAAGCTACTAAATTAAATTTCCATGTAGAAGGAAGCAAAAAATTGCAAGTTTGGCAATCAATTCACAAGCAAATAAAGGCATAGTCTACGTCATCTCTGGCTGAAAAACAAACAAATAAAAAATGTTCTTTTGTAGTAGGATGTAAGTGGTCCAGGCTTACTTGAGTAACCATCGAATATAAAAAATCAAGACAGTTTTATTCTAGACAGAGAGCATAAGATGTATTCTTTGAATTTACAATCTTGCCATTAATTCTCTTTGATTTAGCAAAAGTCTCTGACATGGTTTGGCTGTGTCCCCATAGAAATCTCAACTTGCATTTGATTTCCAAGGATTCCCATGTGTGTGGGAGGGTCACGGGGAAGGTAATTTAACTGTGGGGGCTGATCCTTCCTGTGTTATTCTCCTGATAGTGAATAAGTCTCTTAAGATCTGATGGGTTTATCACAGGTTTCCACTTTTGCTTCTTCTTCATTTGATCTTGCCACCACCGGGTCAGAAGAGCCTTTGGCCCCCCTCCATGATTCTGAGGACTCCCCAGCCATATGGAACCGATTAAACCTTTTTTTTTCCCCCAGTTTTAGGTATTATGTCTTTATCAGCAGTGTGAAAACGGACTAACACAGTCTCTCAATCTCTTTGGGCCTCAGTTTCCACATTCATGAACTGAGAGAGTTAAATAAAATGGTCATTAATGTTTCCTTTGAGAAAAAAATGTCTGTTGCATGATGTGAATAGTCTATTCAGATTTTCACCTATACGGATTTAAGCAAACCTTAAACAGGTGGGATCATGACTAAAACATAACTAAAATCTATAAGGGAAAAAGAGCCCCACAGTCCTTATTTGGAATTCTACTGGCAAGCATATATTACAGGGTACTGAATGTAGGAAAAATAGGGTTGAGTGGGTTGAACTTGGACAATGCATTAAAGGACAATCTCTTACATCTTGTGAAACATAAAGTACGGATCCTTACAGATTGGGGTCATATTTATCACAATATATGAAAATTCTAATATTCGACAGTGGAAAAATGATTTATTCCTTTTTCAATCAATAAGACATGTAGATTTGCTGCCTTCCCTATGCAACAATCTTGCATGTTCTTCACATGTACCCCAAAACCTAAAATGCAATACAAAAAAAAAGAAAAGAAAAAAGAAAAAAAAACATGTAGAAACCTCAGAAAAGACATTTGTTTAATATTGGGAATTTATTCACTTGTATAAAATTAAATTTTCTATTTCATGTGTCTCTCTAATTTCCTTTTGCAAAAAAAATAATAATTACAAAATAACCACACGATACTTTGAAACTGCAAAATAAGAATGTCACATAAATGAAGAGTAATTATTAACTACATTTAACTATTTTTACACATTTTGGTACCAACCAAGTTGCATGTTTTTCAGTTTATTGTTACAATCCACACATATTGCCATGGAGGAAAATGCACCAAATTAAAATTCAAGAGAGTTGAAAAACTATTCAGAACTTTGCAAAACTGTCATTATTTAAGCAGTTTAGAGAAAACTGTGCTTTTAAAAAAACAGCCAATGCACATAAAAAAGAATTAGGTTGATGCAGAGAACCTCATCTGAATGCAGAGAGAGGGAGGACACTAAACAAGTCAGATTAATATAGAGAAATGGGTTGTTTTCCCAGAATCATTTTGTAATCAGGTAATATATCACATTATCCAATCATCCCTGACAGGAAGGCTGCTTTATCCTACCGTCACTAAGAAGAGTAGTGTAAATGGTATCACCTGAAATTATAGCTTTTAAAATTGAAGTATATTATTTTACAACAGCCATGTCAGGGTTTTTACAAATTGTTAATCTCCTGGTAAACATTCTCACATCTAAAACACTATTATTATTTATAAACAAAGTGAATGTGTTAGGAAATGTAACAGATAGTTATTATGCATAAATTGCCTGCTGTCCCTTAGGACTAGAAAATTAGACACTGCATCTCTTAGGGCCATCCTAAAAGCAATGTTGATAAGTAAATAGAATAACTGAACATTTGGTAAATTACCATTTCAATGAATCATGTTCGTCCTAAATTCAGTAGGTAGCACCTTTCAGGAAAGTGTAGAAACTGGGAAATGCATGTGAAAGCATTCTAAAATGAATTAAGAAAACATTGACATTTAATACTAAGAGTTTACATTTAGAAGTAAAATAGAATATCTTTCTTCAGATATAGCCAACTGTATAATTCCTATTAGGTCGGCATAGGTATCAGAAAACCTAGCACTTACTCAGTACTCTCCCTGATAAAATGCAGAAATTTTAAAAAATGCAATGCTGTAGTTCTAATGAGTCAGTAGAACCAAGGGCTTAACCCATTGTGATCCTTACATAAATATATATGCCAATAGACATAAAAACCCAGAAGCCTCATATCCCA